CCCCAAAACCCCAAAACCCCAAAACCCCAAAACCCCAGCAGGCATAATATCAAACTGAAAACAAAAAGCTTAATTAAATTATATATAAGTTTTGAATTTAAATATGAAAAACAACAATTAAATGAGGAATCCTCCCATTCAATAAATTCAAAAACCTGTGACCAGATAAACACCACTCAATCTAGTTTAAAGTAATCATCAATCTTTCTTAAAGCTTTTTAGGATCAGACAATGCATTTCAACATTTCGCAAACAAGCCTTAAATTATGAATGGAGGTGCCTAGGGTTTTGGGAATCAAAACTTTCCTAATTAGCTTTTTTCTAATTTAAACTAAATGAATATCTAGAGTCAAACTTAAACTAATTACTAGCAGTAAAATTATCCCAGAGAACTAATTATGAATAAAGAAAATATGTGGCAAAATTAGCAATAGCTAGCTAATTATAACTATCAGCAGCAATAGTAACAGCCTTAATATGAATATGATCAATAAAATATGTTCACATTAGGTAATGAAGAGATGTTCGGTTCTTTTAAAAATTCTTCCCCACAGATGTAATCTTCTCGAGATGAAGCTCGGTTACAAGAGTAAAATCTGAGTAATTAATTCAGTTAAAATTTATCTTTGAATGAATTACCACCATAGACTCAAAGAACTAATCAAACTTAAAGATCTCAATACAACACTTCTCATAATTAATCATAAACTGGGGAAAATGATGAAATAAAGAAAAGATTGAAAGAACTTTTCAATTACTACTCTTCTTTTGGTGACAGATTAAATGTCAGTAACTTAAAGTCTTCAAAGTTCCATAAGATGATGCAAGATGCAAATATTAGTCAAGGATTATAAAATAAAATATTTACAGATGAACTAATTTAAATGAACAAGAAAAAACTTGACTTAATATTTTGCTAAGTTAATAAGCATAAACCTAATATGACGTTTGACTGCTTCCTATAATCATTAACGAAGATAGCTGAGCATAAATTTTAAGATCTAAACAAAATTGATGGGTTGTAGGAGTTGATAAATAGTTATCTATTACCATTGGCTGATAGAGTATCAGCTTAAAGAACTTACAATACTAAAGATTATCAATATGAGTTAGAATACGATGAACTTGTTTCCATTATGATTAAAAATGTTGGCTCAGTCCTTCAGGAAGTGTACAATGTATACTTCTTGCATGAAATAAAAACTAATGATCCTGAGGATAAAGCAAGAAAAATCACAGAGAAAAATCTATTTGATTTTCTCAGAGACTTTGATATTTGTCCAACATTGATTAACAAGGGCCAAGGTTATCAAATTTTCCTAAATACATATGATTCTAATATCTAAGTATATGAGAATATTGGTGTTGAAATAATAGAGCAAGGCAATCAATAAGTGAATCATAAGACAATGGGAAGATTTTTCACTTTCTTTAAATTCATTGACTTTCTTGTTAAGATAGCCAAAGCAACCTACAGTGATTAAACAGATTAAGCTAATTAGTTGATAGATGCTGAAATGTTCTGTTTAATTTTAGAAAGAATGGAATTATCAAAAGGATTTATGAATTTTGAGAAGAAAACATTTAAACCTCATACCTCTAAAATTACTCTATTACCTTCAAAATCTGTAATAAATTAAATCTAACTTGCAAAAGCATCTATTTATGGAGATGAGAGCAATGAAATTTAAGCCATTACTTCAGCAAGATATAAACAACTACCTAAAGTAAATAGTGAGAATAAATTCACCTTTGCCAACAAGTAAAGCCTCGAGAAATAGATAAAGAATCAATAAGCCAAGCAAAAACAAGAGTTATATTAATTAGAGTAATAAGTTCAGCCAAAGTTACCAACATTGGCTGATTAGATACTCGAAAAATATTCAGATAGACTCTAGAGAATATTTCAGTATTATTGCTTATTTGGAGAGCCACTTAATAATAGCAAACTAAAGAGTGCTAAATTTATAAAATTACTAAAAGATTCAATAATCCTAGTAAAAGGAGTGCTAACTCCTCCTAATAATGGCTCTTACTCATAAAGAAACTATGAGACAAATGGTATTGAAAGAGGGATTTCATAAATAGAGGCTGATTTGATCTTCAAAAAGTTAACGTCAAATTAAAAGTATAACAAGGGTCAGTAGTAATCTTAACAAAAGAGAATGGATTTCGAATAATTTGTAAGATCTTTGATTCTAATTTCAGCCAAAATCTACTAGCATGAAAGCGAGAATCCCAAATAAGCATTTGATTTCCTAATGGAAAATAACATAATATTTTCAGAGTAAATCATGTTAAGCAATGATAAGGGATCTCTTAGTAGCTAACAGCATATATCATAACTAATGGAAATTCTAAAGGATGAGTATATGATCGAAATATTAAGTTGTGTTCATAAATCTCTGCTACCTTACTATCAATATTATGCAAATAACAAGGGCTACATGAATTTTGACGGTTTTTCAAAGTTCTGCCATGATTTTGGTATCTTTCCTGATATTTTGAACAAATCAAAGATAATGCGATTCTTTTCAACTCTTTCTTAATTCTATCATAGTACAAATGGCAGCAATAATCAAAATTCATCTAGAATGACCAATCAATCAACTATAAATGCAGGAGGTGCATCATTAACAGAGGCTAGTAACACTAAAGATGTGATTGATGAGCATCTATTTGTTGAAGCCTTAGCACTTACAGCTTTAGAGATAAGCTATAAGGATCCTCAGCCAACTGAGGCAGAAAAAGTAAATTTTTAAGTCATAAAAAAAATTTTTATCAATAGATAATTATCCTAATCGAAAGAATGAATCATTCAGAAGGACCAGCAAAAGTTTAGAGACAATGTGGAAGAACAAGATTTGGCTCAGGAGAGACAAATGATCTATTGTATGTTCTTAGGCAAGCTTTCCCAGATTATTTCAAAAAGCAAAACTAAAGCTTAAACTATATTCCAGTGGAGGATGAATTATATTCTTTTGATCAGTTATTAGATGCACGTAAATATTGACAATATATAAATTTAGATTAATTTAATTGTAGCTTATTTTGCTTATTGCATTTATTAGTACAACGGGGTTTTGGGGTTTTGGGGTTTTGGGGTTTTGGGG